AAAAATATACTTCGAATCTACAAACTAGTTTTCCAAAATTAGTCAACGGAGCGTCAGTCCAGCCTTGCCACAGACGTTTGACATTACCAACACTCTCACCGCTAATTAAAAAACTTATTTAAACTTGGGAGAATAGAGAAAAAATTCGGTGTCTTCAAGGATTATTTATTACTTACTGTCTTATGAGGTGTATAGTCAACATGGGAGTTAAAAAAAACGCGCGTTTTGTTTCTACAAAATGGGATCACGGATAAAATTTATATAGACCATTTTTCAGTATAACAAATGATTCGAGTTCAATAATGAAAGATTTTTGCTTTAATCCAGATGAAGATGAAACTAAAAATGCACAAACTTATCGTTATACAAAATCAAAAACTATCATCTAACTTGTTGAATCTATAGTCATAATGAGCTGGAGAATGTATATTCTTAACTAGACTCTCAAACAAAAACCAAAAATAAGGGGTGATGTTAATGGAAATGAAAAGAATCAAAAAAAAATATGCACGAGAGATTCTTGTTTTTATGAGATAAAAAAGAATCTCGTCATATCTGAATACGAAACAAAAGAGTAAAGCAAATTTTACAAATACACAGCGTAATGTAATACAAGCTTTTACAAAAAGAAGAAAAAGGAATAAAAAGTTACAAAAATCTGAAACCCAAACGATTAAAATCTCAATAATAAAAGCATCCTTTTATACACTGCTGGATTCAAGCAAGACAGATGATTCGATTTCATTATTGTTGACTTGTGATGATTGTGATTGCTGCGAAGAGGACTGTTGTTGTGGCTGATAAGAAATCTGATTATCAACACGATTCTCCTCAGGTCTGTAATATGTTTGTGATATTGGTGAAGATTGGAAATGATGCGGAGGGTGCGAAAGTGTATGAGTTGGTTGATAATGATTAGGATGGTGTGGTGGTACCGGTGCCTAAAATTTTTAGAAATAAATTTAACGGGGAGCCTATACAAGTATTCTTTGATTGGAATATCCAAGAAACAAGAAATTTTCTCTCTAATTATATGTATATTTACCCATATTACCTCCACGTATTGTTGTTGTTGTTGATCAATGGGCAACATAGGTGACAAGTTAGGATTTGCAACAATTCCACCAGCTTGTAAAGGGCGTGGCGCCGCTACAGAACCAGGAACATATCCTGGAGGAGTCGGTCCAGTGCCATATGAAGGCATCAAAATGGGTTGTGGATGCCAGTAATGATGCCCCGGTGGAGGCGGCGGAAAGAATGCAGGTTGGGGGTTTTGCATATAATTAATATCCATCATTGGCGGTATAGGGCCTTGTAAGGATGATGATGTTCCCGATGGTGAAGAAATTTGCCTTTAATATGTTTAACAAATTACCATGTTATATAGAAAGCTAAATATTAAACGTTGACATCAACTTTACAATAATTATAAATATTATAATCACCTTTCTTGACCTTCGATATTAGTAGCTTCAAGATTAAGAGGCTGAGCTAATAATGGCCCAGTCATAGTAGCATAGGTCAATGGAGGGCTATTATGAAATTCGGAAAGTAATTTTGCACCAACAGCTGGCTCTACTTCAGTTCCATCTCGGCTAATTTTCACTTCTCGATTAGCATTCCATGGGTTTCTAAGATGTCGAGTACGAATGAACGGAAGCTTTTGTCTGTTTGAATCAAAAAAATCAGAAGTGAAATTATGAATATTATAATGTGGATCAACTAAACTAACTCGGAAGAAATACAAACACTTTTATCCATTCAACTTTGAATGCTGTTCCCCAATTTCTAGAAGGTACACCATCTTCGTCGCAATCTTCACTATCATCTTCGGATTTTTTAAGCTTTGATTGTACTTCTTCTTGTACAGAAGGTCTTGAGGATGACGCGGCTAATGTAACTTCGTCAACAGGTGTCCATTGAATAGATTCGGTCGTTTCTTTGTTTATGGGACTTGCCATTCTATGTGGAGTATAAGAAATGACTTTCGCTATATTCGACACAAATAGTTATGCTAACGAAAAATACCTGGCATAGCCATAAAATTCACCGCTTTTATTTGCACTAAAGATAAGATATACATTTTCCGCGCTCTGCATTATCAAATAAGAATTAATTTATTTTCAAAAGCATTATTTAATAGCATATACAATTAAAAATTGTGATAAGGAACACGAAATTAGCATTTAACGTAAAATTATTATTTCCCAAAAAAAATATGGAAAATTTATTATATTTATAAAGCGCTTCACTTTGACGAGTTTTGACTGTAAAATAAATACCTTGAAGGCTTTATTCAAAAAAGTCTCATTATGCGGTTGAGTGGCCCATACACCACTCTCAACAGAGATGTCCAAATCATCTTGGGTTAATGATTTCAAAATGAAATATCTATTTGGAGGTGAAGGCTTATTGGATGATACTGAAGAAGCGGGAGACATAGATGCATGCGATGTGGGACCAAAGCGCTGCCTTGGTGGTGGTAAAGACGACCTATGAGATCTTGCCGACGAAGAAGTGGTTGATCCCGCTTCTGAGGGAGTAAACGGTGGCGTGCTTTCTGACGTGATAGCAGGTAATGCATCGATTTTATTTTTGAAGTCAGAAGGATTATTCTGAAAATAAATAAACATTGGGTCAATTTGACTATTAAAAATATGGATTAAAAAAAGTAATTAAATAATATTCACCTTCCTCGGCCGACACACCAACTTAATATCTTTGAATTCTATAAATTAAAAAGGTTAGCCTACCTTTATATTTCTGGGGGCAAAAATGATAAATTCATTGGCTTACCTGCATCATTGTATTTTTTCTCGGCTTCCACAACCGCCTCATGAGTTTTATAGTTTACAAAAGCGCAATTTGATTTTTTAATGAGAAATACACTCTATTATCATATTATTATAGTACAAAATTCATTAAAAAAAGGCATGTAATTTCTTTGCTTGACCTAAAAAAATGAACACAAATAAATTTTAAATACCTCCATGTTTTCATCAGCAAAGAATTCTTGTAATTCCTCATGAGTGGTTGAATCAGGCAAATTACCCACCCATAATGCCTTATCTAGCTGTTTTGGTTTCTTTTGGTGTATTCTAGGAGAAGGCTGTGGACCAAGAACAGGAGTAGGGATTCGAATTTGATCAAGAGAGCTTCGACGAGAAGAGAATCCGGAATCACCACCAGCAGCACTACTCGGATTTAGATACCTTGTAGTGTTGTGTGGATGTGGCGGTGTCATGAGAGTAGAAGGTGTAGGACTTTGGAAAGAGGGAGGAGGATGAAGCTGAGGAATGACAGGAAGAGTGGGATAAGGATAAACATTTGAGCGAACAAAAGCAGGCTGATTGTTTGGAGGTAAGGGAGAAATATGTGGAGGTCGAGGAAATCTTGGATCAAAGAAATATGGTGCACTTCCAGGGAAATATTGAGGATTAGTGGGATAGTATTGAAAAGATACAGATGGACCAAAGGCCGGAGCTATCTCTTCATATGAGGTAGTTGAGTTATTTGGACCACCGCCATCAGCATTAGAGTAGATTAATGTGGAATTAGAAGATGAAGAGGGTGGTGTGGTGGTGGTGGTATTGTTACTGTTTGAAGTAGTATTACTTCCGCTGCTACTATTTGTTGGTGATGGTTGTTGAGGACGTTGTTGACTCGTGGGAGAAACAAGCGAATTTCGAGAATTTGAATTTTTTGTTGTTCGTTGCTGTTGATTCTGAGAATTATTACTATTAGATGAAATGCTATTATTATTACTATTATTATTGCTAGCATTATTAGTAGTATTATAATTAGTACGTGTTGCAGATACACCTTCCCGATGATTTTCTTGATCAACTATTATAGTGTTATTCCCTTTAATTAAACTTGCCCCACTAATGTCTACAATTTTAGTAGTAACATCTTCAGATGAACAATTACTATTGTTGTCCTCTAAAGATGAAATAATGTCTTTGGTATCAATTGATGCACTATCGTTATTGCCATTTTGACTAGTATTACTATTACTATTAACGATAATAGTCTTTGAAATGTCTTTTTCACTACCACTAATGTCCCGTTGCTGCTGCTGTTGTAATTGTCGTCTACCTTTTCCCTCTTGACTCGAGTCAGCTTTCGAGCTTGCTATTGTAGTTTTGTTGATTATTGTTATGTTCTCACGCGTCGTCTCCTTATATGAAGTTGTAATTCCTTTTTGTGAATGACTTGACGTCGAATTATTGGCATTGGTTTTGATAGTTGTAGCATTGTTACTAGCGTTAGTCTGTTCCTCGCGAGACATCTTTCGTTTTTTATATGAATGTTAAGGTGGGTGAAGTTACTTGCGTTTTCTTTTTTTTAAACAACGTCGAGCTTGTGACTAATGGAAATAGTAGTGAGTTGTTGTTATTTATTCTTCTGGTTCGTATGAAGGTATTTTGGTATTTTGGTTATCTGCAAAAAAAGGATACTATATTTTTGGCGTCGTTGTCGTTGTTTAAATAAGAATTATAATAATATTAAATTGGTTAGAACCAAGATTATAATTATTTAGTATTTCACGGAATTTTATATTCGTAGTTGGTCGTTTAAATTTCATAAAAATAAATGCAAAGAGGAGAAAATTGAGGTAATAGAATATATTTTTATGTATATGTACCGTGTACCTCATTGATATATAGATAATAAATAGATATATATAGAGGAAATACCTCATGCTTAACTTACCGCTCGAAAAAGTTCTTGGTAAAATATTAGTAAAAGCGACGAAGTCGAACTACCACAATGTAATGGATTTTGTAGTTTCTCTTTACTCGCCTGTAAGGGATGAGTTATTATTATGTTACCAATTTATTTTTCCAAGTCTGTGATTGTCTGAGTACTGAGAGTGTGTGTAGTCTTAGTAAAAAATAAGCGCTCGTACGTGTTATTTGATATTTGCTAAATTGTCACGAATGAAAACTAAAAACTAGAAAGAATATAGTAAAAAATTAAGATTCGATAAAGTGGTGATAATGATGACACTTTTGATTGTTTAAAAAATAGTAGTGGTTGTGTATCCGTCGTGTCTAATTGAATATCTGATACTTGCTACGCCTAGATTCATGCGAAATCCGAGTCTGATTCACTGTCAAGTCGTGCAAAGACCGGATTAAGGTAGATCCCAGCACCACCCTGCTCTTCGTCAACATCACACGTGCGATCTTGGAACGGAGCCGCGATCGTCTCCTAAATCGAATCTTCTGAATGCTCGGTGTTTATAGCGTCTACCTTTTCATGAATGGAGCCGAGTCACGCTTACTCTGGATCTTATCCGATATTGGAGGAGCTCGGCTGCGAACTCCATGAATAATAAGAGCACCGTGAAGAAATGGTGATGCTACTTCTTTTGTGATTTATCATTCCGCACAATATAAGGCGTTTTCAAACTCCACTTAGGATTTTCGTCGTTCTCAAGGTTTACACCATGCCCGAAGTTCCTCCTTGCTTCGCTTGACGCCCTCTCTTTCCACCATGACGAGGTATCTGTTGTAGGCCCATCGCATCGTCACATCCTGTTTCTGAATTTTAATTGTAACAATTGAGCGAAAGTTTTCTGCAACGAGTACTCCCGCTCTTCTCAAGGACTCTCAACACGAGCTCGAATCAGAAGGGATAAAGTTGATCCACTACCTTCTCCAAATTCCCCAGCGTATATTTCATTCAAAAAGACAACAAGCACCGGAGTTTTAAAACGGGCATCGCTGTACTCTAAACTATATTAGAACCTATCACGTTGGTATGAGTTGTGCCAACCATAAATCCTCTATATATTATTAAGTTTTAGTCGCCGTCCTTGATACTCGATTCCCTTTTTTTAATTGAACGCCATATTTCGATTGTTATATTTCCCTATTGGGAAATTCAGATGCGATTAGACTTGTGGAATCTCGTAATCCCAAATCGCATAATTTAAAATTGATCATGCGGCAAATTTTTCTTATGACATAATAATCAATCTTTTTTCCCTGTGATTATGATGTAATTGTTTTTAACCAATGGGATTTGAGACAGTGGCCACTAACCTAATTAATCAAGGTGATCTTTAATCGCGGATTTGCAATGTAATGCCAGTTGATGTTAAAAAATATTATTATAAATGGGTCTGGAACTCAAATTCCGAGTTTAATTAATTTTTACTATATAATGAATTCACTACATCCAGATTGACTATGTAGAATTTATTTTAGAATTATTATAAATATGTAGTTAGCCACACGGATGAACGAATTTTCCGAACATATAAACATGTGCAAATTGTGCATACTAAATATAAAAATATGTAAATAATTTTTGAAATATATGCAAAAACTAAATTTTTATATATATATATCTATCTATCTATAAAAATTTATGTATATACTTTAGCAAAAATTGGTGTACATATTTATATTATATATTAATCTCAGATACTGATTAGTATTTGAATTTTTGAATACTTGAATTAATAAATAATATAATAAAATTAAAAAAAATCTAATATATTCTTTAAAAATATAATTTATAAATATCAAATTTAATAAAATAATATGATATATATAAATTTTATATTTTTAATTAAATAAATTTACAAGATTATATTCTTAATTTTTAATCTTGACTTTATATTATAAAAAAATAATTTATTAAAATAATTAATTATATATATATACTTTATCTAAAATTTTATTATAAATTTAATTTTATTAAATTATTCTAAAAAAAATATTATTTAATTTAAATTATAATTATATTTTTAAAAGTCTTAAAAAATTATTTTAATTATATTAAATTTTATTATTTAATAACAATTTATTATTTTAGATTAATTTTAACAATATATAAGTATTTATAAATAAAATTTTTTAGTTAAAACTATTATTTTTATAATATAAAGTATTAATTATTTTAAATAAGTTTAAATATATTAAATAAAAGATTTTAATTATAAATTTTTATATTTTTATAATATATTTATTTAATAATATTATATTTTATTTTATAATTTTATATTTATTATATATAATATTCTTTTTTATATAATTTAAGAAAATTTTAAATTTTAAATAATATTTAATAATTAATTAATTATAATAATTAAATAAATTTAATAATTTTAAAAATTCTATCTTATATATTTATATATAATAAAAAATTAAGATATAAATCTTAAAAATAAGATTTAAAACTATATAAAATTAAAAATTTAATTTAATTTTATTATTTTAAATTAATAATATATAGTAATAATTAAAAGTAATATAATACTTAAATTTTTTATTAATTATAATTAGTAAAAAATTTAAGTATTACATTATTTTTAATTATTATTATAACTTGAATTAATTATTTTTATTAATTATCTTAAATTTAAAAATATTTTTTATTTTATAATACTTAATAAATAAATAAATTTATTTATTAATTTTTTTTATATTTTTAAAATATTATTATTTTATAATATTTATTTTTTATTAATAATAAAGTTTTATATAATTATATTATTTATTTTTTATTAATAAATAAAAACTTATTAACTTTATAAAATTTTAAATAATTTTAATTTAAAATATATATTTTATTAAATTGGAATTAGAATTAGAATTAAATTTTTATTAATTAAAAATTTTATTTTAATAATAAAAAATTCTGTATTTAATTATTAATTTTAAAATATTATATAATAAAAAAACTTTTATTTAGTAAATTTAATAATATAATAAAAATTATTAAATTATTTAAATTATTAAATATATTTATCTATTTTATAAATTAAAAAATAAAAAAATAAATATAAGTAAATAAATAAAAAAATATATAAATTTAATAAATTAATATTCTAATTAATAATTATTATATTATTTTATAAAAAATAAATTTTATTAAAAAATTTTGAAAAAAATTTTATTACTAATTAATAATATAATTTATATAATAAATTATATTATAAAAATAATTAATATATTATTATAATATAAATTTTTAGTAAAATATTAATTAATTATTATTATTAATTATTTATATCATAATATAATTAAATAATTAATTATTTATACTTTATTAAATATTAGTTATAAAAAATATTATTTACAAATATTTATAAATAATTTTATAAGTATGATGATTATAATAAAATTATTATAATAAAATTAATAAAATTATTATAGTAAAACTAATAATACTATTATAATAAAACTAATATTATAATATTAGCTAAAATAATATTTAAATTATAATAAAAATAATATAAATATAATAATAAAAGTATTATTCATATAATCTATAAAAATAATATATTTTAACTAGTAAAAAAGAATAATTAGTTAGTTAAATTAGTTAATTAATTTAGTTTTCTTGAGATTTTGAGTTTTATAAATTTAATTCTTAAATTATATTTTAATAAATTATAGTAAAAAGAATTCTAAGAAATATTTCTTATAAAATAAATTTTGATTAAAATTTATTATTTTATCTTATTAATAAATTAATTATTATATTTTTATTAAATTATATTTTAAAATTAGCTCATATTTTAGTTAATTATATTGTAAATACTATTATTATCTTTTTTTAGAAATAATTTTTAATAAATTTTAATAGAAAAATATATTTTTATTAATATACTATAAAGAATCTCTTAATATTATAATTCTATATATTTTTGATAATTTAAGAATCATACTTGTACCTAAAGTTAATTTTCATATCAAAAAGATAATAACTTTTTGATAAAAATAATTCTAAAAGTAATCATTCAAAATAATCTTTATCTAAAATAAAGAGTTTTCTATAAGTTAGATAAATACTAATAGAAAAAAAACTAATTAAAAAAGTTAATTAATAATATATTAAAATAGATCTAATTAAAGAAATCAAAGTAAAAAAAGAAAAATTCTTTAATTAATTATTTATTAAATTATATCTTGAAAATTATGATAATTCAGATTGATAAGTTATCTGATAAAAGTTTTATTATTTTTATCAAGAAGTAATATATAATAAAGTATAAATTAAAATTAAAAAAAATTTGCAAAATTAATAAAAAAAATTAAATTAATTTCAAATAAGTATAAGTTTATCTATATTAATTATAACAAGAAATATTTAAAGTCAAAAAGTAAATATCTTATAAAATAAAAATAAAAAAAGCTATTTTTTTATTAATTTAAAAATTCTTTTTAGAAGAAGTATAGTTATCTCTCATTATTATTAACATCATAGGACCAGACCATTTGATTAATATATGTGAGAGTTGATAACTACAAGAATTAGAGTTAGAGTTAGGGTTAAGATTTGAAAAATCACATATAATTATTAGTCTGTATTATTAACATCATATGGAATATGATATTTATTATGATCTATTTATTATTATCATTATAAGACTTTTTCAGAGTCTTGGAAGCTTATACATATATAATTCCTTATATTTGATCCAACTACCTTTTTATTTTGCTTGATAAAAGCTTTTCTCTCAAGCTTTTTTTTACTTCATTCTCTTCTTTTCTTGTTAGAAAACTTACAGTTGTTCTTCAATAAAAAAATCTGTCACTTTTCTTTGTTATTTCATCTGGGATACATTCATTTAAATATATTATAATAAACTTCATAATCTTGATAAGTCTTATTTCTTTACGAATTTTTCTGAATCTTGTTGTTCCATATACAACAACAATAATTTATATTATTTCAAGACAACAGAATGAGAAATTTTCTTAATTTTAATCTCACTGTCTTTGTCACTATCAAGATTAAATAGTTAGAGAATTTCTTTAATAATGGCTTCTTCATCTATAGTAATCTCTTCCATTTCAATAATATAATTAAGATAAATATAGTCATGAGCTGTCATTACTTGCATAATATTAGCAGGAATGCTTGAAATAAGTTGTTGAATGTTAACTTCTGGTCTTGAATTCTCTTTGATATATTATATGTTCAAATTTGGCTAACTTTACTTGATTAACAGTATTATTTTAGTTTTATGTTAGCAATTAATAATTATCTGAAAAGTTACATTTCTCCACACTTCTGTATTAAAATTGATTACTTTCTTAATATTCAGATAGGATGTTTTATTTCTGATATCTATGGCTTCTAAAATATTTTGAAGATATAACTTTTAGTTATTTTGAAGATATAACTTTTAGTAATGAGTTTTGAATGAGTTAATTATTCCAATATCACATAGTTGTAAATAAGATATAGTATTGGGTGATAAAAAATAGACTTTAACATGCTCTAATTCTTCACTAACTATGTGAGAAGTGGCATTATCAACCAAAATCAAGATTTTCTTATGATCAAGTTGGTTGGTAGTATTCAGAGACTTTATCTAACATCCAAAAATCTCACCAGTTATTCACGCTTTTTTGTTAGCTTCATATTTAATACTGAGATTTTCTTTTCAAATATTTTTAAAGTATTGAAACTTTGCTGACTTTCTAATAATTAGTGGTTTAAGTTTGTTCATACCAATTGCATTTGTACAAAGCAGGAGGATTATTCACTCCTTGTCTTTC